GTAACCTTGTATAAAGCAATCCAGTTTAATAGAAAGATGAGAAAAGTCTGTGATATAGGCCCCTGTTTCAAAAGAAAAGGAAAGGGAAAAGGATTCTTTGGCCTTGTAAAGTAAAGATAAAGAAAAGAGAACAAGGAAAACAGTGAGATAACCATGTAATGAGAACCGTGAAGAGAAGAAAGATAATCTCCGTATCTCCATTGTTCCTTCCTGAGCCTGTTTCACTGCTTGCTGTGCCTGTGGCTGCTGATAGACTGTGTTACCAGCACCCATCTCTTCTTGCCATGTTCAGACCTCAAGGGCAGTGCCCTTTCAGTGAGAGCACTGCCTGGGCCAGGGTCACCCTTGCCTCCTGGCTTGCCTGCACTTTGAGAGCTGCTGTTCTTTCCTGCTCCCTGACAGTACCAAGAGTTTCTGGTTTTATCAAGGTGGACATTTGAAAGATGTTAGAATATCTTTCCAACCTCATGCTGAAGATTCTTGATGTTATGGAGAATGTCCTGATTCTTGGGGAAATAGAAAGAAGAAAAGATGGGGAATGCATTCTTAGAAAGATTACATTCTTCATCCACCCTGGCTGGATGAAGCTAACTGTAGGGTAAAGAAGGAGGATGCTAAATCATTGAAGCTTAAAATGGAGTCTTAAGTGGAACAGTAAGTATATGGTGTGTAGAAAGGACCAAAAGACAAATTAGAGAGAAGAGAGTACCACAGTCTGTATCAAGGCAACTGAAGCTTGGAAATACGAGGAACTAGGTTTTACTTAATTAGGATGAAGGGAATAGCTAATGACATGTAATTGTATTAGCACTCTCTGATTTGCATTCCTATTTCTGATTTCTGCTACTTTTTGGCAAGGCAAGAAAACTTTATTTTGAAGATGCTGTTTTGATCAATGCAGATTTAGTCTTTTGTAGACATCTATGAGTCCTGCAACTGGCTGACATCACAGCTTAGTATCCAAAGAGACATAACCTAGAGTTGTATTCTAAAGTGGTCAAAGTTTCACTCAAAAGGGAAATGGAAATGTGGACTTGCCAATTGAGAAGTTTACTTATGAGGCATAGGGACTATGATAGCATAAACTTTTTTTGTTATAAAAAGTGTTAAAAAGTAGAAGACCATTTTCTAAATTTGTATCAATTGAATAATTCTGAGACACAAAATGTAGAATAGCGCTATCTGAGCCTTTGGAAGATGAAACATGCTTGAGAAAGATGTCAGATGTCAGGTATTCTGGAACAATTGGGAGTCTCCTCCTAATCATTGTGAGAAGAATGCATTCTTATTTATGCTTCTATAATATAAGTCGCTACTTTTGCAGTCATATTACCTTTACCAGTTCAGTAGACCTGAGTAATGGTTAAAGTGAAATGGGTTTTTCATAGGGATAGATCTAACACTGATAATTGAGTTCAAGTAACACTTTAAATTAACTGTAATTATATTGTATTTTCTTCTCTGTTGCTTCCAAATCTGTGGGTTTATGAAGGTCATTCATATTGACCCTGACCACCCTTATGGAAGGGATTAACTCCACTGTGTATTGGGTGTCGCAAGGAATTCAGTTTCATTACTTTTTAAAAAGGATACATCAGGGCAGCTTGGATTATTGTGTTAAGGATTTCTGGGAGAGATTGCACAGTATCTTCTTGCCCTGTGAATTATAAATTCTTTGAAGGGTAGGTATACTGGTTTGGTCAGTAAAAATGATTTCTTAATCACTGTTGATACGGTATTGCAGTACTCAAGTGATTTGTTAGGTAATATTATCATTCAGATTTAGTTTGCTTCAATCTCTGTCTCCTTTTGAGAAAGAGAAATAGGATTTTCTTTCTTTGAAAGTAGTTTTCAGACAATGGAAGTATATTTTATTTCACATCATAGTAGGTGTGCTGCATCTCTAAATGGAGTTATCAGCTTGTAAATAGAATTTGGAAGGAAGAACGGAGGTTCAGTAAGAAAACAGAAAACACCACAAAACATTTTTAGCACACATTGTTAGACTACAGCCCAGTTCAGTTATGTAGTTAACTTGGTTTGTAGAGATGGCCTTCATTTAGAAAAGAGTACCTCCCCAGGTGGGGCTGTCAGGTTGGTAAGACACAGAAGCAGTAAATCAGCAGTAGGACTGCATCATGTAAGCAGACAAACTGTAAAAGGATGGGGTCAATGTGGTGTCTTGACCAGACTGTTTTAATGATGCCAGAAGAGTCGGCTTCCCTGGGGCCTACCTTATCATCAGTCAAATCTGAAGATCTGACCTCTTTTATAACAAGCTTATCATTTCAGAAACCCACGGAATCTCCTGATTCCTCTGGCGCTATTAACCATTTCCCTCAAAATGACAGATCAGGTTCTCAAGAAATTAATTCCTAGAGCAACATTACTCAATATGAAACGAAGCTGTAAAAGATTTCCCCGAGGTGCAGAGTAGGTACTGCGTGTCCAGACTGTGGTCTTTTAAAGGCATATATTGTTTTTAAAAAGTTCTATTCACCCATGTCTGATGATGTGGAGAGCATATATACAAATATGCATATATGCACAATGGTCTTGATATGATGCATTAACTATAATGAAACTTAGGCTCTGTGATGAATGCTGTGCTCTTTTGAAGCTCAGGTGCCAGTAAAGCCATGACTGTGCAGGAGTTTCTAGCAGTAAGGTCTGAGAGCAGCTGGTAAGGTTTTAGCCTGTATTTTTGTGTCCTGCCCTTACCCTGAGATGAACTTGCAAGTCTTCCTGGCTTGCAATGGGGCTGCTGAGTGCTCCAGTGTTCTCTGAGTTTTGTTTTCTCTTCAAAACTATTATACCAGCTCAGGGCACACAGTGCAGCTGATGGATTAAAATTGCCTCCTACCAGCTGATTTATTTCCCTTCTGAAGTTGCTATACTTGGCAGAACCAGCAGGGCCCCGAGGACACTAGCAGTGCCTGACCTCCCTCCCTGGGCCTCCCCTCACCGCTGGGCCCCATCTCAGACCCTAGGGTTGTCAGCCCCTGCCCGAGCGAGGCGGCAGCAGGGACGGGCTCCAGCTCCCACAGCCCTGACCACAGTGGACCCTGCCATGCTGGGCCTGCCTGCAGGTCTCAGCCTGACCCCATCCACAGTAAGGTGCATGGTGCCCCCCCCAGGAAGGCAGAACCCAGTTACACCTTGGAGATTTTTGATTCTGTGGTGGTGTTTTGGCTTATTCCTGGTCACAGTATTCACAAAGGCGTAGTTGTTGAAAAAATTATAAACAAAAGAGTCACCAGTCGAGTATTCAGATGGTCAGTCACCAGTCGAGTATTCAGATGGTCATCATTTGCAGTCTACATTTGGATGTAGATGAGAGGCCCAAAGTTTAGCTTGGGAAGATTTTTTTCTGCTGAAGCTGGTGATGGTATGTAAGCAATGACTGAAAATCATACCCCAGAAATCCCCCCTCTCCCTCCCTAGTATATCTGAAATCCAGATTAGGATCTGAATTTTAGCACGTTCAGTAGTGGTGCTTTGGAGCACAAAAAACACATCTGACACCTAAGAGTTGTTGTTGGCCTGGAAGCATTTTTAGATTCCTCCAGTTCTCCATTGCTGTTTTTAAACTTTCACAACAGGGGCATCATTTGTTTGGGTCTGAGAGTGCTCCTTCCCCAGATCATATGTTGCTGATAAAGGCAAGAACTTGCTAATCTTCACCACAGTTGTTTGTTTAAAAAGGAAAGCCTTGAAAACAAATGATGTCATGACTGCCATTTGCTCCCTGCTGCTATTTGCTCATTTGTTTTCAGTGTGGAAAAAGTATCTAACTGTCTTCCTAATGAATGTAACTCATTCTTTCCATTCTGCAGGAGCTGTTAATTAAGGAGTATCTGCTGCATATAGAGGAAGGCATCCGACAGACTTTCTACATAAGTGGGCAAATTCTTTCATCTCCTCTAAGATTCTTTTTTTAGGTTCAGAGAGTGATTTTTTTATTATTTTTACTCTTTTTTAATAATTCCTCAGTTGCTTGAATGGTCTCTCCCTACTGCCTACTCAGTTTCACACAAGTAGATCAACACACAATTCCCTCAGTGTTAGAACAATTCAGCCGTGTGTTAATATGGTTGGATATTAAAAGTTCATACAGCAGATTAATGTAATTAACATAAATACAGTTACAGTCCACAAGTATGTGGAAACAGTGCATCAATCAAAACTAATGAAAGTAGCCATAAATATAAATGGACCAGTGCTTGAGATGACCTAATGTTACACACGCATGTGCTTTCTAATAGAGCATGTCCAGCTTCTTTCACTGGTATTGACTTCAAATAATTTTAGCAATTTTGAAAGATGTTCATTTGAGTTCCTTTGACAGATGAATAATTACCATAGTATTCTGAGGTTAAGTGAGCATAGGGAACCTTTTTTTTTTGTTTTTGTTTTTTAAACAGTAAAAAAACAATATTTTCCATTAAAAGAAGCAGAAAAAGAGTTTAAGAAGATCTTAATGTTCTCTGTATCTATTTACATCATGAATGTTCTTGCTTTTGACCAATTGAAAATGACTAAATTTGGAGGAAAAATTGCAGAATATGTGTATGTTCTCATAGAAGACAAGAACTTTACCATAAGGCCAAATCTTCACTTGTGGTGGTATACAAGGTTTTTCTCATCTTGTTAGTCATTTCACAAGATGTTAGTCTTTTGTGAAATGACTAACGAAATCAGGGATAATAGGTTGGCATTATATTAAATTTTCAAATCCCTAGTTTTGGAAAAGATATGCAGTATTCTATTTTGTGTTCTTGTCAATAACAGAGGAGTCTTTTCTTTATAGCAGTCTGTTCTTTATGGAGATCTGTTGTAAATTTGCATAATTGTACAGTCTGGAATGAATATTATAGCAATTAGACTTCGGAGACTTTTTCTCTTAGTAGTTCCCTACAGGAATATACTTAGTCCATCTTTACTTATTGCTACATGTAGAAGTCCAGTACAAAACTTTGTACACTTTATTTTTCTTTCAGATGCAGAAATACATTTTCATACATAGATTTCAAAGTGGGAGAAGAAAATGATAGCTTGTGAATGGGAAGAACCATCAGATAAGCAGAATGGTAGGATTATTATTTCTAATACAGCATCACACCTAACCACCTCTGTGGTGATGTGGCATTTGGAAAATAGCATATTGGTTACAGATACCTAAAATCAAGACATTCTTCAGATTTGTGATAAAGGGTACTTGGGCATCCACTGAACCCACCTTAATTACAGATGATTTGTGGCTCTGGTCCCATACCAGATTATCCTGGCAGATTATGCTCTGATCAGAGTCTCTGGTGAGATGTCAGGGACTATTGATCATTCAGCTAATGATACTGGGAAATAAGGAAAGCGTACAAAATAGCTTTACCTCATGTAAGTAAAAATACAGGTGTTTTTTTTGACATGCAGTTGTTAAAACAGTGCCTCAGCTCTGAAGGTATAAGGGTATGTAAAGAACATTGGCAAGGTGATCATTTTGCTAAGGCAGAAGTTTATTTCGGGGCTATGCAGAATGTATGGGCAAGATAACTTTTACCAACAACAACAACAACAAAAAAATGGATTTTTTCCAACATTTCACTACTGGAAAGACCACCATTATTTAAAAGAAATTAAAAAAAAAAAGGGGGGGGAGGAGAAGGGATGGAGGAAGGAGTTTGCATTGAGTTATTCTGGAACGTCCCTTGTTCTTCATGTTCTTCATGTCCCATGTTCTTTCAGTGGTTGAAATTCTAAAGTTAAGAAAGAAGGTAACCATCTTTACCAACAGCTGATTCTGGAAATGAAAAGACACAGATTATATTGATTCCTACGGCGCTTCCACTAACTCTGCTTTCTTCTACTTACTTCTTACTTCTACTCTACCATCCCCCACCCTGCTCCACCCAGTTACAGTGTTCACAAGAGTAACACATCAGAGTGCTTGAACTTTCATTTTTCACATTCTGGCCTGGGTAGTAATGCCAACCATTTGACAAAAGTTTGTAACTCTTTGGAAGCCACAGAGCAACCAAGTGAAACACCTAAACAGTGTAAAAGAAGTTAGAACATTTTACTCATTTCACGAGTGGTTGGTTCTACAACAGGATGTTGTATGCAATTAAATTAGTATAATAATTGACTCCACTGAAGTTAATGGAACAACAAGTATAAATACAATGCAGGAACATAATCCAGCTAAGCAGTTATACTTACAGAAGGAATTATATTGTCTCTAAAGTGAGTATCAGATGCTTCTCCAATTTACAGTAGGATGCTTGCTCTTTTAGTGATTGCTGCAGTTCTGAAAAATGTCTATATCTTACATTGCTTCAGCTCTGCTCTTAGTGGGCTGTTATTACAGCAGTCTCCCTATTATAAATGGGGTTTCCCTCCTGAGGATGAACTCTGTCCCCAGTGAGCAACTGAAGTGGAGCAGAGGCTGGAGCCAGGACTGGGTGAGAGACAACTGCAAAGCTGTGGCTCACTAATGATGACCATGTCATTAGGAATGTGTTGTGTTGTGAATTTATGAAGAGATCCTTTCAAAGCAGCCATGCTAATTTCTTAGAACAAACAAAATGGATGTTCCAGTAAGTTATTTACATTAGTGTGCTTCAAAGCAGATGGAGAGCTTTATATTCCATTATGAAAGGCATGCAAGTTACAGTGACATGACTCCTAATTATGAACAACTTAAACTACACCATCTGCATTTAACAAAGCTCCATATGTATGGATGAGATCTAGTTTGGCTGCCTGTATTGTTAACAACACGTGCAAAATAGATACCAACATGCAGAATCTAAAGATATTTTGGCAGGCTTTGTGGGAAGAACTGGAAATGCTTGCAGTGCCCCTTACATCTTCACTGTCCAAATGCAAAAACAGGGAAATAGGGGCAACAATCATCCCAGGCCATAATTGTTGCCTCCTATTGAGAGGGGAATTGTTACATACATTTGACAAATTCAGCATATTGGTTACCCAGTTGTAGCCAATGCAAGTTCTCTTTTTCCGTCTCCCCCCTCCTTTTTTTTTTTTTTTTTTTTTTTTTTTTGGCAGAACACTTCTTCCCCTAGGCAATCTGGACAGACAGTATGTAATTTTAGAAGTCCATATTCAAAGCCCAATCCTTTTGCCATTGACACAACACCCTGCTATGCAAATTTCAGCATAAGGGATCAGTGGATTTAAGTTTAATGAAGAATAAGAAAATTAATCTTTTAGAAAATGAAGGTTCATTGAGCTAGACAACCTTGGTTACCTGGGACACAAACCAACGTCCACATGTTTAAGTCATAAGGGGGTTCTTCTATGCTCTGCAATGGGAGAAATTGCTTTGCTGTTTCCTCAAAGAGCATTAAACAGTGCGTAACTGAGAAGAGATTTAGCAAGGGAGTACTTATTTTTCATCTGGTCTTAGCAGTTACTTCCGCTGGAGTAAACTCCAGGCCATGACATTCCCCAGCACCTGAGCTACGCTTAGTTGGTTCTTCCCTGAATTGTGAGTGCTTGAAATACTTGGGATTTCTTGATGGTGTGTGGAACTTGTTTGTTGAAAAAGGGGAAATTCTAGGTGATCAAAAAAGAAATTTTCTATATGTTTTCATGCAGAAAAAGGTGGAGGTAGATAGATACGTGCCTTTGGTGTTGTTACAGGTGACCTGCACAGAGTGGCTCTCCTGTCTTTATCTGTCATAATAGCTCTGGAAGAGCAGCACAGGACTAGCAGTCTTCTAGATCTCTCTCTCCCATGGTCAGACCCTCACCCCCCACCTTCCCCATTCCACCCAACAAGTCTTTGATCTCAAGCAGAATGAATTGCTGGTGAACTCTGAGGGTGACAGACATCTTGTGTTAGGAGGGTTTTCTAATTCATCTTTATATGAGATATGACAGCTATCAAGCTAAATATTCTACTGGATTTAGTTCATCTTCAGCCTAGACTGTTGTATCATTACAAGATAAAAACAAAACACTCAATTAGGAAAGACAAAAATCCAGTAAGTGAAGTCTGTTTAAAAAAAAAAAAAAAAGGCAGTAAATGGAGAACACAGCATGATTGAAAAGTCAGAGAGGATCATGTCTGTTTTCACAGAAATCTGGATGTGAGGGATTGGACTGACTGTAATAGATTCCCCCCACCCCTTTCTCTTCTTTCCATTCTGCTGTTTCTGATATGGAGATTTACACTGACCTTTGGGCTTTTACATCTTGCAATTTGCCAGCCCTTTGATAGAAAGCACATTCTCACAAGTGACTTAATTCCTTTCTGATCAGTATTACATGACACCAGCAATCAGAGGGCCTTTGATTCATCAGGACAAAAGGGAGAATGGAAATGTACTCCCTCCCCAACACAGCATTGCCATAGTCCCACGAGCTGAGTGTAATCCTGGTTTCATTTTTCCATTCTTGTTCTTTGGTGATGTTATAAATCCAGCTTTAAGGCTAAACAAGAGCAAGATAAGGCAAGTTCTTTTACCGTTTGAATACTGAGGGAATAAATCTTTTTATCTCTCTCTAACTTCAGGTGGATGCAGTAAAAAAAAAAAAAAAAAAAAAAAAAAACCTTTCTGTATTACCATTGAATACAACTGGTTCATTCTGCTTTGCTTGAAGCATTAGTTTCATTTCTAAAAGGACATGTATTTAACCATATAAAGTAGTAAGAAGTGTAAGGGAGCAAATGTGCCTATTTTCAGTAAGATGGTTAAAAGAAGAGACAGGAAACACATTGAACATTTGACGCTGATGTCTCTAATGGCCTCCTTTATCAAACCAAGTCCTGAGGAATTGTGAGGGGTGAGTGGTAGAAGTCTCAGCATTCAGCTCTCTGCAGAGGAATTTAATTGAAGGCCCGGAGATAGTGCAGAGGTGGGCAGTGAAACTACCCTTGATTAAAGTTGTGACTGGAGGACTCTGGAGAAACTCCATTAAGTACTAGTTCATGATTCTAGGGCCATTTTTGTCTTTTCTAGTGCAACTACTTTAGTATTTAATATGTAAACAGTGAGGATTTAAAAAAAAAAAAAGGAGAAGGGAGAGGGGGTGGAATTTAAAAGTAAGGATGTCATGCAATATCATCTTTCATTTTACTGTGGTACACCTAGTTTCCGCTAGGTGCTCCTGAAGTATCAAAGGACTGCTGCTCTTTGTGTTCCTGTATAATGTAGATACTCCTTTCCTGAGGATATCCCATAGTTTGGAGTTGGTGTTTAATCAGGTTTTAGAATATTGCTTGCACCTTGTTTACTAAATGATGGTACATATTAAAAAGAAGAGCCATCTCCTTTTCTTATTCAAAATAGCATTGTAGATAGATTAATTCAGCTTTATAAAAGTGATACATTAAGCTGTTTTCAAATCTGATGTAAGACAACCTAAGTGTTTTGCAACAGAGGGCTGAAATAGCTGGGAGAGTATGCAGCCACCATTAACATGAGATTTCTCAAGCAAAAGACTCATCAGAAGCTACTGATGTTGAGAAACTCTAGGCAGGTTTGGAAGATGTGCAGAACACTATCAAACAGATAAACTTTAGTCATGTTATACTAGTTAATCATATTGCAAATCTTTCTTGGGTTGTTTGATCAAAGCTGCTGTCAGCTTTGTATTTTCTGAAGTGAATTATTCAATCTAATTTTTATATGAGAGATAAGAAAAAATAAACAGAAATGAACTGATTGAAAGCATGGGATTTTTACTCTGATAAAAGTTGTTTTCACAGAAGAAAATGAAGAAACATTTCCACATGAAGAAAATGTTCATAACTTTTGGGTTTGTATAGAACAAAAAACATTCTAACCTCAGAAAAAGAGTATATTTAATCTAAAAGTATTTATCAGAAATGCATACAGTTTATTTAAATTTCTGTTTTTACCAGTTAACTTATGCAACTAACCAGAATGATCTCTGTGTATGTTGCTTGTATAAATCAACTGAACTAGAAAAAGCCTTGTCTAGCTGTGGACATGGTGGTTCAAGTGTTAAGTCGTTGAGCTGCTTATCAAAGATCTTTTTTTTGAAGAAGCTATGGGGTTCAGCTGTGATCCAAGTTGAACAGAATTAGGAATTTAAGGAATCA